AGGGCCGATACACATATGATCTCAGAGAGACAGCAAGTATAAGAACTCTTCAAGCTCAAGTTAGAAAAAATTCCCTATAAAAGAGTGGAGGTTGGTTGGAAGTCCCATACCTAGTTAAAGAGTGAATGACATTTCATTGCTACTTAGTGGGGGAAAATATTTACTTATTATACATCTAAATCTATCACACTCCAGGGAAAGACCCATACCCACGACTAACTGACAAGCACAAACTGGACTCCTAGAGGTTTTTATTTTTGTTTGTTTGTTTGTTTGTTTGTTCAGAGAGAACAAAATATTCAGGTTGGGAGTATATGAGAGAAATTGAGAGGAACTAACATGACCCAGGGCAAATAAGTATAGTGTTCTGTTACATTTTCTGTTTGGTTGCTGATTTGGAGAGATTTAAAAATCAGCAGGACATGGAGAAGAATCTTTGCATATAAAATAAAAACTAATAACATATGCTCATGGTTTTGAAGATTGCATGTGAGAGAGGACAATCTAAATGTTAACTTAAGAATTTTCTGGGTTTTTCAAACATCTAGGCAAATTTGCCTGATGAAAAAATAAGATGGATTGTGAAATATTAACTTAAGGTAAAGGGACTTCTCTTATAGTAACAGTCTTCATAATGAATTTTGTACCCAACTTTAAACTTATAAATTTAGCTAAATTTATTATGTGGCTGTCACTACAAGGATAATCCTGTGCTTCTGATCATTTTGATCTAACTGTGATTTTTATCAATACAGGAATTAACAGTACTGTTAAAACAATCAAATAAATAAAAACCAAAACAAACCATCTACTTATTTTGTAGATAAAAGGTCTTATGATGGATATAATTAGTAAGTTTAGATCAAGAAGAATGAGACAGAGCATTAGACCTATTAATATTGATGGTCAGACTAAAACAGAATGAACAATGTTCTGACAGCTGTTTTCAGTAACACAATTTCAATAATAACAGAAAATAGATCAACACTAAAGCTTCAGGATAAAAATGAACAAATATCAATACTGTTCAACTCTTCATTCTGAAAGCACTTAAGAAGACTTTTCCGTGTCAATTAGAATGCTTTCTAGGGGATACATTTTTTTCTTAGTCACGAGAATTAAATATCTACATCCAGTAAGTGAGACACACAAAGTTTCCATTTTCTTAGGTACTTGGTAAGGGCCATGTAGACAAAGAATTAATCAAGCAGAAGTCTATTTTTACATTGAATATCTCACAATTTGTAAACAATTTTCAGTTTTGCTTTAAAAAAAAAATCAAGCTCCCTGTCAATGCTGAGTTTATCCTGGCAAGCAGCCTTGTGGGAGTCTGGCATATTGAATCATTACCATATTTTGTTATTTTCCTCTCTCATTTTTCCATATGCATGAATAAATCCATAGAAGGGAAATGACATACTAATTTCCTCTTAGCTGACAGAATGCTATTGGCATCTTCATACTAGATCAAGTGTCAGATGCCCATAATTAACCCCAGGTTTGCCCTTCTGACTTTGGCCAAGCAACCTCTTTCTCAGTATTCCAGTTTTCTGATGAAAAACATAGCAACAATTTCTTCCCATGTAGAAGAATTTTGGTTAATAGGTGAAAACAATGACGAGCCTAACAGTATTAAGATGCAGATTCTTCTTAAAGTTTTGTTGGGAATTAGGAAGGTAAAAATGAACTAGAAAATGTCAGACAGGAGAGTTAAAAGATACAATAGGATTAGAAGACAAGATATCAATGTATATATGATTGACTTTTTTATGTAGAAGAGTGGTGGGAATGTATATTATGAACGTAGAAAACAATATGTATATAGAAGTTTGACATAAACTGTGGAAATGAAGCAACTCTGCCTTCAGAGTTGATAGTGTTGGAAAGAGCCAAAGAATTCACCATGACATCTTGCGTTTAAGATGTCACGATAAACGCTAACAACATGTAAATAAAGTACAAAAAAAGAGTTTTAAAGCCATTTTCAGCTATTCCACTATTATATCACTCAGATGAATTTGAGGAAAAGCTACTTCAATTAAAAAATAGATGCAATTCTGAGGCTGGTTCCAAGATTCAGTATGTTACATAGAACATTAGCCTTCAGGATAGCGTAAGTAGAAACACTGATGGATAAGAGCAGGAAAAATGGTGTCCAGAGTGAGTACATGATCATTTCTAAGTGTTTCAATAATTTTATATGATAGTTACCAAAATAAACATGTGACAAATGGATTAACTCTACCTGATCCTGGAAGTACAGCTACATAAAATACATATTTCTATGGAAAGACATGTTGTTAATTTTGATTCTGCCTATCTCAACAATGTAATAAATAGTTACGACATTGAGAGTTGGAAGTATTCACAAAATGACTGTAAGCCTATTCACTCTGCATATAGACATCAGAAACAGAACATAACTACACTGTATAGAATGGATCATTATACTATGCCTTGTTTTGAAATTTTAGTATCCTATTAAAAGTAAGCACACTCAAGAAAAAGCTGATCTACATAACAGAAAGTAAAGGAACATTCTATAAATATAAACATTAATCATATGAGTCATTAAGAGCTCTGTCTGATATTGGCCACACAGAAGAAAAGCTTTTCTCATTGAATATAGAAAGAAACAATAGAAATGTCATTTTCAACATCTTTAAAGTCATCTTGGAAAATAGATTCTGTTATACCTAGTCTGACAACTGCTTAAAATATCTCAAAGATCCTAGGGAACTTGCTCAAGGTTTCAGAGCTATGAAACATGGCAGCAAGGTCTACAGCTTAATAGTTAAGCACAAAATCATTAAATCTGCATGCAGCATGGAAATTTCTGCCAGCTTTACTTTTGTTGCACAATATACTTGGAACACTGGCCTCAACTCCTGACCGTATACTCACAACATTTAACACTAAACTCATGCAAGAAAAATTCCCTATATTTCTAGTGCATCTAATGTCCACCAAGTGTGGAAATGTTGTGACTGTTCATTTACGTGTAAATTATTGGTCAGTTACTCAACAGTTTTATGTGCTCAGATCAAAGTAGTTCAGGGCTTTTAAAGCAACAGAGAGGAGTGTTTTGAAGTTGTAAAGCACAGATAAAATGCATTTGTTTGCTAAGCACATTTAAAACTTGACATGACAGTTACTATGCTGAAAACCAGGCTGATATACTGACATTGCCTAGTGTTCAAAATATCACCACATAAATACAAAATTATTAGGCAGAGGTTGAGCCACAGTATATCAGTTTGCTGATCTTATCTCTTAACAAAATCAAATGCAGAAAAATTTGCCATGATAATGAAATAGGGCTCAAATATTGCAAAGAAGAGGCTTTTGCATAAAAATGTATAAATGTAAGACAGAAATGAGAACCATGCTTCACCAACAAACTACAGTGTTATAATTATGATCAAAAGAAAGACATGTTGAGCTTGAAATTTCTTCACCAGCCTGTTGACGGCATTGAACACAATGTTTGAAAGAAACCGGCTTTATTCTTAGGCTACATATGTTAATACTTCTGTAATGTTTTAATTGCTTATAGGAAGGAGCAGGGTGAGAAATAACCCCATGGTCTGGTCATTACACTGTACATAATAAAGCATAATAGAGCATCTTCAATATAAATGTCCTATTTACTTGTTAATCTCTAGAGATCTTAGAAATAAACTGACTCAAATGAAACTGTTTTATGACTTAAGTTGGGTCTGATATAAGCAATCTATTACTAAATTTAACATTATATATATATGCATATATATTCAAGTAAAGAAAATATAGTCTTGGTTCAGCAATAACTTGAGTACACAACCATATTTAGCGTTCAAAATGGCTAAAACTCAACCATACAATAAAGAAAAAATAATGAATAAACATGGACATGACTCAAGTTACCAATAATTTCCATGAAAATTATATAAATCCAATCAGAACTGAAACAAATGTGATCAAACTGAGCCGTATCCTTTTGTATTTCAAGAGGTATTTCTTTCTGAAACGCGCCAAGTTAATTAATATTTCTCATGAAGATAGAAAATGTGCCTGTCTGTCCTTGTTATATAATGTCAGCATCATGCACTATAATCTGGAACTTAAGATAATTAATGCCGTATATCCTTGCCTCTGAACAACACAGCTGTCAGCCATGGGGCTTTAAAATTAATATGGTCTTCTAGACTATAAATCAGAAATTATGATGCTATTATACAATGTTTCTTAAAAGGCACTTACGTTTTAAAGGAAAACTGGCTTCTGGTAGCAATTCACCTGTTAAAATAAAACATATTATTTATTTGGTAGTCAGTAAGTAACATAAAAAAGTTATTTTTATACTTGGCAGCATTGGAGGGCAACTTTGCAAAAAAAAAAAAAGAAACTTTTTCTAATCTCATTTACTTTCTTTTCTCTGCAAAATGAAAATAACCTCTTTGGTTGTAATAATTAAATGCTTTTCTGTTCAGTGCATGTGCACCAAAACCACAAAAGCTAATGAGTTTCATGTTTGAGAGCAAAACCAGAAATTACTGTGCATATTATTTAGGTCATGGGTATAGACTGGAACATATTCCACTCACAGAGTATAATGAGAAGCACGAGAATTAACATCTTCACAAGAAAGTTAAAGGCTTAGGTGCAGTGGATAATTTGACTCTTATCAATATAAAAATAAAACATCACCAGAAAGACATAATTAACATAAAATGCACTCTGTTAAGCATTTCATTAGTTATTTAAATTTCTCATATAAGTTCTCAGCGTCACTGAACTTCATTAATGGTTGAGAGATTTTTACTTATGAAGCTTCACGATTATCACTGAGATACAATAGGCCGAAGCATATGTTATACTCAGCAAATCAAGTACGTGGAACAAACTGCACTGGATCAATATGGCACTTAATCCTTATCTGAGGCAAGGAAGTGACTTCCTGGGAACAGGAAAAAAAAGTGGCCGCGGAACCTCTTTTAATGGCACTTTATTTTCCATAGCATGTGAAATGTCATCTCAAAGTGGAGAGATTATGAACTGCAATTCCTCCAGGGGCATTACTTGTTTGTCCGTGCAAAGTTGCACATGCGCATGTTTTCCCCTATGTTCATCGTGATTTTCGGCATGGATGCTTCATCAAGTTTGAGTTGTTATTTTATATATTATGTATGGGCGCATATAAAGTTTTTTGTTATTATCGTGAGAATAAAATCGAAATCCTTAGAAGATTGATGGCTTTTAGATACTAATTTGTAAACAGAGGAAGTTCCGGTGGGAAACTCATCTGAGCTCACTTGAGTGTTAAATTGTCAGGGCAACAAAATTGCTTCTCAATCTCACCCTAGATTGACTGGCTAATAAGATAGAGAAAGGGAGGGGTGCAGAGTGGAGCTGGCAAGGCTGTCTGGCAGATCTCCTCTCCATGGACCCTTGACTCTTATAGCTGGACAGTGCTTTCCTTCCAAGGGCTTCTGAGCAGGGTCATGAGCTTGTCCTGGGCTATCCTCAGTCTATGCTTTCGCTGAAGCACCTTGGGTTAATACTGGCTAATAGTCAAAAAAAAAAAAACAATAAATGTGAATGTTTGCCTGTCTGTAGAGATAACTTCTTTACCTGTCTGCTCTGATATGAATATAAACAATCAGAAGAATACAGTATGACAATTCCAGGTTTAACACTGATAATTCCTGGACATGAATTTGCTTAAGAAATTGATAAACAACAATTTAGCTGCATCTGTTATCCTGTTACTGTCAACTTTCTACTATCTGCAATGATGATTGTCACTTCTGCAAGCTAAGAGGTTTTCTAAGTTTTCTCCTCCTCCATGTGGGTATACCAGTTTTAATCTCCCCATAGATATCAGTATATTGCTTTCTCTTAAAAGGAAGCATGTATTCTTCCATAAGAGTTCAAAAGCTCCACCACTTTTTGGCTGTGTGTGTCTGTATCTGTCTGAGTCAGCTGCTGGGTGGAGCGTGTCAGAGGACAACATGCTCCTGTCTCTGTAAAAACTAAAAGAGTATAATTAACAGTGTTAGAGACTGATGCTTGTCCATGGGTTGGGTCTCAATTTGGGACAGTTATTGGTTGGCCATTGCCTCAATCTCTGCCCTATACTCTGTGCCTGCATTTCTTGCAGATAAATTTTGGGTTGAAATTTTGTGGATGGGTTGGTGTACCCATCACTCCACTGGGGTTCCTATTAGACTATAAGAGGTAGCCTCTTCAGGTTCCATATACCCAATGTAGTGAGTCACAGCTAAAGTCACCCATTGTGGGCCTCGAAGGAGATAAGAACTCCACAGGAAGACCAACAGAATCAAGTAACCTGGACTCTTGGGGATCTCAAAGTCTGAACCACCAACCTAAGAACATGTATGGGCTGGACCTAGACCTCCCAGCTCATATGCAGCTTGACCTTCATGTGGATCCTGAACAGCTGGAACCCAGGCCCTCCCAAAATCAGCTACAAGCTCAAGGAATATCTTCTAAGAAGGCTGCCTTTTCTGACCTCAGTGGGAGAGGAAGTGCCTAGGATGGGGGTATACCCAGGGATCCTCCACCTGCTCAGAGGAGAAGGCAAGGAGTTGGGGGAAGGGTTTTGGGAGGGGTGACAGGGAAGGAGTCAGTGAGTAGGATCTGAAGTGAATAAATAAAATAAATTTAATTTAAAAATTATAAAAGCATATATAAATAGCCACAATCCTACCCTTGCATTCATAAAATGGATGTGAAAACGTTTGCCAGGATTCCCAGATTTGTTGTTCAGGAGTCAGAACATCATGAGTTCTACAATCTAATAGTACTCAAATTGTGTAGAGACACTGGCCTTTCTTCTCTTCCTGAATTTAGCCTTCCTATTTCAGTCACATTCACCATTAAGTAAATAAAAGGGTAAAAGCTTCCTGTTCTATTTAACACCACTTTCATTAGCATGCATTCATCTCATAAATGAAAGTTTCCACAAAGATATTATCACACATGTCCATCATGTGCTTTGAACATTCGGTTCCTCTTCTATCTTGTTTCACATATTCTCCACACATGAAGAAAACATGTGGGCCCTCTCTCCCTCACTTTCTCCCTCTTCTTTCCTATCTTCTCTTTGCTTTTGTCCATTCCCCAAAATCATTTCAAAATGGATCAGGGACCTGAATATAAGACCTGAAACAACTCTATCAGGATTTCAAATGTCTCTTCCCTCTACAATTGAACTCTCAGTTGGACTCATATACAATGTACTCGTGATCATGTATTCAATTTTCTTCTTCAAGCACTGGAGACAAGTTGCGATCTCATGTTTGTTTCAGTGTTGACAGAGAAAATATAAACTTAACTCTCCAAACCAGGAGACTTTTGAGATATAACAAAAGCAATAAGGACACGGGATGTCAACAGGAAGTGATCCAGGATTGGTCTGTTTGAGCATTGCAGTCCATTTACTTAACTACCTGTTGGGGATAACTTATTTACATTTAATCCCTAAACACGTATCATAGGAACAACTCAGGAGTTGTAACTCTAAACATACTCAAATACAATTAGACCAGCAAGCAATAAATTTATACTGGATACACAGTTAGACCATAGCATAAATCGTAGGCACCAAGCAAAGCATATTATAGCATCTTTTCCGCACAAGCCTTTGCTGATATTTTCCTGCTTCTGGACAACTACTCTCTCATCAGCAACACATTCACCTTCATTAGCTAATTCTTAGCTAAATTTTACAGCTGCTTGCATTTAGTATTTTGCCTAAATGTATGATGATGACCCAGGCACGAGAAGGGTAGACAAGGAATAGGTGATGAGAGAATAGAACAGACATAGAAGCTAGGAAATTAAAAGGCCTTTTTACCTCCTTGGCAACAAGATCAGTGAAACATCATCTGGGGACATTTTAGTGTGAGTTATTCAAAGGTTGAGGCTCCAGATGAACAACCTGTAGTGATGAATTATACAGCAAGAGTGCTACACATGGACACTGGAGCCCCTAATTGATACACTATTCCTTCTCAATGTTTGGCTCTCTGGTTGAGGTACCAACATATTGTAATGGGTGTGGCTACACATACATTTTTGGTTGTGTAAGGTAAATAACCATTTTTAATGTTTGGGGTTGAAAAATACTATTGTTTTTGTTGTTCTTGTTGCTGATTTTTTTTATATTATTTCAATTTTAATCAGCCAGTGGCAGATAAATGGGAGAAGGACAAGCACACAGGGAAACATCATAGTCTAGATTACTGCCAAATAGACATTTCTGGACAAAATTGTAGAAGTCCTTGCAGAGAGGCAGGAATTCAAAGTTGTAGGTCGTGGTAATTATAGTGTGTCAAGGTGTTCCAAATATTTTAGACTGAAAACAGAGAGTATCATTTTAGAGCAAACTCGTGATTTTCAAAGATATAAGAGAAATAAGAATGGAAACCATGAAAAAAAAAAACAGGTCTGCTTAGGCATATTTGCACAAGACAGTAATTGCAATGGTAGGCTTCTTAAGTGCTACTATGATAATTACATATAAACCAGGAGCGTTCAAAGGGATTACAGAGCATAGTTGATATATACTTTGACTGTCTAAGAACAGAGGTTTACAGAATATATTTTTGAGTATATCTCCAACTTTTGGCCTGAAAAACTAATGAACCATTTGCCAATTGAGGAGTTATAATAAAATGAAGTAGAATAAAATCAAAAGATAGAAAGATGTGAGCTTATGCTCCAATTTCTCAAGTATTAGAATTCTAAAGTCCATCACTTTCTCAATAGCTGGAACAACACAGTGATTATATTTAGATATGTGGCAAGCCAGCTTTGATTATATACAATATAGTATATTTAATATCATATATGTTAATATATAGAGAAAGAGAGAAAGAGGATAGTTATGTAGATAGATAATTAGATAGATAGATAGATAGATAGATAGATAGATAGATAGATAGATGATAGACAGATGGTGATGACATAAATTTCTCCTAATTTGTAATACAGGAAATTAACATGAATATATTGTGATTGTTTGAAGATATTCCATTGAGTATGTTGTAAGGAAGGAGAGTACTCATGTTTCCTTTGTTTTAAATGCCATTACTCACAAAACTGATGTTGTAATTTAGAACACTTGTAGCTACAACCATAAATTCTTACTCAAGAAAGCAATGAGGACATTTATCTTTTTGATTACATTAAAATAGTTATACATTTAGATTTAGCAAAGAAGACAGAGAAACCCATCAATGTACATTTTATCTAACCTTGGTGCAAAATCCTTTTGAAAATAAATCAGGAGTGGCTAAATTACTCATCACAAAGCAAAATGTAAATGGATATGTAGTTCTGCCCTCTAAGTCCACACTGATTTACTTAATTAGGGAACCAAAAACCATGTCCATGTCTATGTCTATTTAGATAGAGGACAGCTGATGTGAAGCATGAAAATGAGTCAATGGCTCTTACAGTTGAATTGGTCACCTAGAAAGATATTTATATTCAAGTCTGTATTTTCATTTCTCTTTCTTTCTGTTTGGCCTTCTGTTTTTTTAATATGAATTTTCATTTGTGTAGTTCATGGATGTTATGTGATTCCACTGTAGCAGAATCTGAGAAATCTTAAAGCTTTTGTGGAAATTACCATGGTTTTTAAAGTTATAAACAGCAAGTGTCCTCCTTTTGCTAGAAAGGACTATTAAAAGAATTTTTAAATCATTTTGCCTTAAATTTTGTTTATATCCATTTATTTGAATTGTTAATCATCACCAAATGTAAAAGATTATCTAAAATCAGAGCATGTCATGCAGTGTCTATTTTGCTTGTTTCTAGAAATGGACCATTACACTGCTGAAACTCACAGGTAGAATAATTTATTTTCTTGGTTTTCATCCTCCTCCACTCTAATATGTAGAGACATGTTAGTGTATTCATCTAAAGTCTTGCATTCTCGTAAAGGATAAAAAGAGACTTTGTCATGCATACCCCAAAGCAGAAATGTTACTTATCGCTGAAGTTAGTGAAGGGTTGAGATGTGGTTGATTGTGTAAAGAGAATGACAGTGAAAGCCTATAGAATTCTAAAAAGTTGCAAAATATATAAAGTACTTGTCTTTTCAAAAGTGTAAATTTCTTTTAAAATTCAATTGTATTATATGCATCTAAAGCGAATATATTATAAATATCAACCTGAGAGTCACATTGCCTGACGCTAAAGACATCTTAATACT